TTTTTCGAAAATTCGAGAGATTCGTGCTTCACACCGCATTTCTTATTCGAGACAATCTCGAATACCATCTGCTCTCTGAAAAAAAAGGTATTCTCTGAAACCAGCGAAAAAAGGATTCCGAGCGTCCGGAAACCCATGTCTTACCCTCGAGAACCATTTTAATGGTTTTCGAGCCTTCAGAAACCCATTTTTTACCCTCGGAAACCCCTAATAAGCTTCCGACAGTAAAAAGCTCGGAAACCGAAAAGGGTTCCCGAAGCTCGGAAACACTCGAAAGAGTATTCGAGGGCTCAGAAACCCTTTTCTGTTTCCGAGCTTCTTACTATCGGAAACCTTTTAAGGGTTTCCGAGGGTAAAAATGGGTCTTCGAAGGTTCGGAAACCATTGAAAAGGTTCTCGAGGGTAAGAAATGGGTTTCAGAACCCCGGAAACCTTTTTTCACTGGTTTCCGAGAATGCCTTTTTTTTAGAGAGTAGTTTGATTTGGCATTATTATTTTTCTTCATCATCGACTATCTTATAAATCAGACTAGTATAATAATGCACTATATATGCATCAGCAGCTCTCACCGTACTACTATATATCTCAATCAATTCATGAATGGTGATATCGTATGTTTTGTAAATTGACAAAACGATCGAGTCATGTTTTTCATGTCGATTATATGATTTCTATGATAGTTCAATCTATTACTACTCTTCATTCTTCATTTTTAAAATACAAATTTAAATTCTAAAAAAAAATCGACGATTTTGCTATTAAGAACTTTAAAAAATATATTATAGTTTTGCAAATACTAATGAAGGCACTGAAACATTGTATAATAATCGAGCTCATATTCTTTATACGGTTCAACCCCTTTTTCATTTATAAATAAATCTAAAGCCTATTGCGCGCGGTTGCTGAGGTCTGTAATGTGCGGAAGTGTCTGTAACAAGGAGCGTCTGTAATGGGGTGGAAGGGAAGGAGGGAGCAGCGAAACTTCGACCTAAAACTTACATTCACTATTTTCTTCGAATATATACGTGAGTTCCACAATAGTGATCCATAGGACTGGGGCAATGACTGATTAAAAACACAAACGTGTGTCGGTCATCTACATAAAACATATATCAAAGACCATGAAAAAATTTCACAGTTGTTCCTGCCACAGAAAAAGGAACTTCTTGTAACAACTCAAACATAGTTTTGGTCAATAGTATTTTAAACTTTTGTACCTAAAGTAACAGATAACCTTCATTTTATAATATATTAAAACACTTCACATACCCATGTAAAAAAATGAACCACAATCATTTTTAAGTACTTTTAATATTAATAAAGTACAATAAAGTAACTTTTCTTACTATTTTGCACTTTTTTTATAGTACCCTTTCATACTTTTCCACTTTGAAAAGTACTTCCTCATTTTTTTTGTCACTTTACAAAGTATTTAATAGTACTTTTCAGTCAAAAAGTATGAAAAGCACTTAAAAAGGTGTACTTATAAGTACTTTTCCTGTTTAAAAAAAAGTTTTGAAAGTACTAAAAAGTTGCTTTTTGGCTACTTTTTTTTACATGGGTTAGCCACGGACAACTTTGGACTTTCGAGGATGCTCTACTATTTAGTGTGAATATGTTCGAATGGTTCTTTTAGGATGGTTTAACACTGCTAGTATGAATGCTGCACGATATCAACACACAGCCTCGGTGTTAACAAATGGAAAAGTGTTAGTTACTGGTGGATATAATGGTAATTCTTCTCTAAATAGTACTGAGCTGTATGATCCATCAACAGGAACTTGGACAACGACTAGCAGTATGAATGTTGCACGATATCAACACACAGCCTCGGTGTTAACAAATGGAAAACTGTTAGTTACTGGTGGATATAATGGTAATTCTTCTCTAAATAGTACTGAATTGTACGATCCATCAACAGAAACTTGGACAACAACTAGCAGTATGAATGTTGCACGAAATTTGCACACAGCCTCGGTGTTAACAAATGGAAAAGTGTTAGTGACTGGTGGATATAATGGTAATTCTTTTCTAAATAGTACTGAATTGTACGATCCATCAACAGAAACTTGGACAACAACTAGCAGTATGAATAATGCACGATATTTACACACAGCATCCGTTTTAACAAATGGAAAAGTGTTAGTTACTGGTGGACTTACTGATGCTGTTTATCCAAATAGTGCTGAGCTGTATGATCCATCAATGGGGGCTTGGGCAACGACTGGTAGTATGAACAATTCACGATATGGATACACCACATCGGTATTAGCAAATGGAAAAGTGTTAGTTACTGGGGGATATTATGTTAATCTTGTGATTAGTTCGGAATTGTATGATCCATCAACAGGAACTTGGACAACTACTGGTAGTATGAATATTGGACGACTTTTCCACACAGCATCTGTATTAACAAATGGTAAGGTGTTAGTTACTGGTGGATATTATGGTAGTCCTACAAATAGTACTGAATTGTATGATCCGACAACAGGAACTTGGACAAGGACTGCTAGTATAAATGCTGCGCGATATTACCACACAGCATCCGTATTAGAAAATGGAAATGTGTTAGTTACTGGTGGATTGGGGAATATCACTCTGAATAGTTCAGAATTATATTAATTACCTTAAACAAATAAACGATAAATGATCTAATATTTATAAGTATACGTTATCTTGCTTTCAAACATTAGCTTGATAAAGAGAACTAAAATTTAAATGAGAGAGATTGACTTCTTTTAATGCTTTCCTTAGATAGCTATACATTTGAGAACTTGCTTGAGCATATCAAAATAATTTTTCTTGTTTGTATTTTTGTGTGAAACTTACTGTGATAAAAGTCTTAGTTTACATATTGATGACAAGCTAGCACGGCGGAACAAGTTAGCATGACCGGGGAAAATTTTTCATTGGATAAAAGGATCCACCAATCGAAAACTCAAAATAACAAAAACACCATTTTGAGGGTTGGGGTGGGTGTGGGTGCGTGTGAGTGTGTGGGTGGGTGTGGGTGAGTGTGGGTGAGGGTGTGTTGTGGGTGTGGATGTGGGTGTGTGGGTGTGGGTGTGGGTGGTGTGTGTGGGTGTGCGGTGTGGGTGTGCTGTGGGTGTGGGTGTGGGTGTGGGGTGTGAGTGTCAGCTAGTTTTCTGTTTTTTCTCTCATTTACACCCACACTCCACACCCACACCCCAGACCCACACCCACACCCCACCCACACCCACAGCCACCCACACCAACACCCATCCTACACCCACACCCCAATTTGTCATAAAAGACTTTTTTCTCTCTCTCTCTCACATTCATTTCGAATATTATGATGAATAACTGTTAACAAACGTCAAACATATAACAATAGAAATTTAATATCAGATACACATAACATGAAAATGTGTTGTTGTTTTTTTTTTGAAATAATCAACTTTACAATGATTAACATGTCTAGTTTTGATGCAAACTTTTCCTTTTAGTATCCTTTATCAATCATATGAGTTTAGATTTTAATTTCTAAATTTTGTTGAGTTCTGCTCATCAATATTATAATTGTTTTTTATTATTGATTCACAGGAAAATGATTAAATTACAATTCGTTTAATAATAATGAATAACCTAATCGACTAATCTATGACATTTTCTTCGCACAAACATAAATTTTCAGGGAGAAAGTAGTTCTGCCACTTACATTAATTTTCAGATTTTGAGTTTCAATAATAACTTACATCTCATCGAAGGATATTCTTTGTTCATTATTATTTAAGGCCCCACCCCCCCCCCTCAAAAACCGATCTCAGGCCAGAAACATCCAAATTGCATGAAACTTTCAGGGTATGTTGGGGATGGTGAGCCATGGCTATGGTAAAATTTTCAGCCCTATAGCACGATGTTTAACAGAGATATTCACCAAACAAGGGTCAAAAATAGCTCAATAGTATCTCCAAGTTTTCTCTGTGGATCTTCATTGTAGTCATTTAATTTTTTTTTGTTTGAAAGAGCATGTCAGAATGTAGCCCCTCTCGTGGCCCTTTTTTTAAAATTCTTACTTTTTAAAAGAAGAAAAGGAATGACAAGTTCAATGACTCAAAACTTCCTAAAAAAATGGCGCTGTTTCTATAGAGGTGTTCTCTTATATTATACTAAAAAGGCTTATTTTAAAAAAAGAACCACGAGAGGGGCTAGCCCTAGACACAAGCTTTCAAACAAAAAAAAAATATTTGACTTTACCTCTTACTGTGATAGAGTTCTGCTGGAGATACGTCGCTGAACCCACGTTCGGAGAAAAACTAAAAATGATTTTCGGTTTTTTGTAAAAACGGCCTGTTTTTCGAATAGGGGGTGACGATAATCTTCCAAAATTTTTGGAAAAAAAGAGATGCTGAATAAAAATTTTTATCGTATATGAAAGAGCAGATCACGGGCTATCTTCCTATGTATTTTTCTCAATTTCGATGATTCTGA